TGTACAGGTCACGGTTTGTCGAGTTTGTACAGGTCACGCGCATACGTGTAACTGACTGGATCAAGGAGGGACGTACTAGGTCCAGGTAGGGATCCGCGACACATGGATTAGCCCAATGGGAAAATAAGTTGGAAGAAGGAGGTGTCCAATAGGAGCTCAGTGTTAGTGTAAGACGGATCGAGGAAGGAACTTGATCGTTGGAAGGACTCTTGGCAGAGAAAGAAACATTAGTCGGTGCCTGGTACCCCGACACGTAAACATGCGGGGAAAGCGGGCCTGTAAGCGTATTCGTCGCATCGACATTTCAAAGTTTACGTGGACTGATATTTGTAGCCCGTTATGGGGCCGACACGTAACGGACTTTACCGCGCTCAATGCAACGTCTACATAGCAGTCCAGCCGTAGCCGTAGTAGTACGTGGAAGTGCCCGTTTGGGGAGGGTGTGCCGTGCTGACGAAGTCCTACTTGGCGTTCAGTATTTATGAGGGCAAGGCCTGATAGGCCCTCAGTACTCAGAAGGAAGGGATGTATGATCGGTGGGGCGCAAGGCGAGGGTGTGTGGGAAGCCCCCTGAGGATGATCGGAGCCCAACCGATCGAAACGCGTCGGGGAATGTGCGCGAGAGCTGAGATGAGTATGCGCTGTTTTGTATTGACGAGCTTTTGAAGCGTGTACGTAAGGCAGTTGGCCACTGTTTCCACTATTTTGTGTAGCATGGTAACCGGATGAGAGGAGATACTCACACTGGTGGTTGTGTCGACTACCCATTCGTTCGGCAAGGTTAGCACTTGTAGAGTTCCAGCGTGGCTTCAGGCGTCAGTGGAGTAAGAGTTACGGCGAAGATAAGTGTTCCAGGGAGCATCAGTAACAAGCGCCAGCAGAGTCTGTAGGCACTAAGGAGGACTTGAGAGAACCAGCCACTGAGCCCACACGGAAGGTACATGGCGTCGCTTGGCAATGCAGGAGCCGGAGCAAACGGGGCGGGTACGACTATCTACTTCAATTGCAATCAAGCCGGCCATATTGGGAGGGACTGCCCGGTGGGCAAGGGACAAGGTACCTTCACCAACAATGCGAAGTACTGGCAGTCCAAGAAGGAGAGTGAAGACAACATAAACCGAGTGGTTAGATGGGCAGACTACAAGATGCAGAAGGAAATGGAGGAAGAGGAAAACAAGAAGGCAGAGGAGGAGAGAAGAAGGATCGAAGCGGAGCGAAGAAAGCAACATCTGGAAGAGGAGAGATGGGATGAGAAGATACGAAGGATGTTTGCTGAAACCGAGAGGAGAATGCAGGAGGAATGCGACCGGAGGGACAAAAAGATTGAGGAGGCCGAGCTCAGGACGATTGCTGCAGTTTCAAGGGATCTACGAAATTTCCGAGCCGAAATAAGGACGGAGATCCAGATGGCGATAGCAGTTAACCCCAAGACTCCGAAACGAGATAGGGATGCATTCGCAAATGGACTCGACACTTACCTCATGGAGGAAGAAGCTCTGACAGATGACGGGGCGAAAGTACCGCCGAAAAGAGCAAGAGGGAAGCGAATAGCGAAGAACTACGCAGCGCTGGACGATTGGGAAGAGGAAGCGAGAGTCATGTCAAGAGCAGACTACGAGAAGAGTCTGAGAAGGAAGGCGAGTACGCCAATGAAGAACGGCACCGAGCGAAGGAGAACCCAACCTCTTGCAGTAAAGGTAATATAGTAAGCAATATCCTGAATACTAGGTCTAAGCTGATGGCGAAGGAATGGCGGGAGGTGAAGAAACTTTGTGAGGCGAGAGATATTACCTATATCTCTAAAGAGCAATGCGTACGGGAGCTTCTCAACAGAGCTGCGTGGGGCGACGACGTCGAGCTCTTGGACGAGGCATGGGAACGTGAAGATATTCATGACAAATGACGGTTTGCGCCCCCTACAAAGCTCATCTGGGCTTATATTGTCATTCTCCTTTCTCTAAGGATGACAATCTGGGGGCACACAGGGTTCTCAAAGCTGAGGCTGGTAACAGAGAAGGCATGTACCGCTTGTACGGTGCTGCTAACTCTAATGGGCCATATTTCGTGGGCGGAAAAGATCTTAGACGCAGTACCACGAAATTGGAGTTGGCATGACTTCAAGCAACCTGTTGTATATTGCCTTGTTTCACCTTGGTGTAGGAAAGCTTACATCGGCAAGTCAATTAGAGGAGCCGCGGAGAGATGGTGGGAGCACGTTAGATGTACGGAATCAGGGACGGAAGGTAGGGCACCGTTGCTGTATAGATGGTTGAGGAGGTTTAGCTGGAATAAGTATGTCGTTATCCCCATCGCCACTTCGGAGATCAATGGGCTGGAGAGCCTGGAAAGAACACTCATTAAAAGATTCTCACCATCGCTTAACACATTAGGCACAAGGGTGAAAGGGAATCCCAAGAAGAGGTCGGGAAGAAGGGAAAGGAAAGCGAAGGTTGGCAGAGTTAGGGAGAGGACAAAGACAAAACGTACGGGCGCCATAGTCTTCCAAACGAGTAATTACTCGCTGGGTAGTACTAACCTACGAATGATTCTAGAATCAGCCTATAAGGAGGGGAAGAAACGGATCCAGATCGATAGCGTTGGTGGTCAAATATGGGGAGAGGATTGGTCGTTAGTCAGGAGAATGTTCGGCACATCAACTGTCGTAACACAGGTGGGAAAGATTGCCCTGTCACATGCGAAAACCTGGTTCGAAGAGGGTGGTAGCTTTTGGATTGCCCCCGTAGTGCTCACGCAAAATTCCAGGGCTAGAGGAAAAGGGTACTTACGACAGCTTCTGGAGATGCCGTTCAAGCGCAAGGAGCTATCATTGTTGTCCGTCGACAAACTCATGCACCTTTACAGTTGTGCTGGGACGTTTAAGGAGAAGGAAAACGGACGAGCAAGGACTTCCTAGGAAAGGTAGTGGGAAGGAAAGCTGGTGTGAACATCCAAAAGCGGATTACAGTTCAAGTCAGGTACAGTAAGGAGGTGAAGAAGGTCGGCATCAGGAATATCTTGATCTAAAAAATCGAGAGCTGCGGACTGCACCCTGCAATCGCGGGGATCGTCAAAAGGAAGTCGAGAATAGTCTGGAGAAGAAACAAAAACGTAGCCGAAGTCCTGTGTAATTACAAGCAACTCAGTAAGAAATCGGAGTTACTGTGCACGTGCAAGCAGTACGATCTGCTCGTACTCAACGGGCACGTTCTGACAAGGATAGGAGATATCCCAGGACTACCGGCCATGGTGCTGAACGGGAAGAATGTGGTCTGGCCCAGGATCGAGACAACGAAGGAGGAAGTTGGCAACAGTATACGTTTGGGGCTTACATCGGTCCTGAATGGGCAATTGGGCGATAAGTTGTCAGTTCTCCCAATTGATGAATGTTTCTCGACTGAGCGGAGTTTGCAGTGCGACTCTGACGAGGGAGTAGTCCATGCAGTCAGAAGGAAGTTCAGGGACTTGCTAATAACGCAAGTAGACAGGAATGCAGGGGACCTCGTGCTGATGTGTCCATCGCCATACCAACACGGATTGAACAAACTGTTCTCCTAGATCGTAGCATATGATGAAGTCAGCAGCAGCGAGGCAGAGCTCCTGAAGGTAATGAAAAGCGAATTCGAGGATCGTGGTCTGCACAAGGTACTGAACTGGAACCCGAAAGGGAAGTTTGGCAACGCGTATGTGCTACCCAAGCACAAAGATCTTGAAAGGTGGCGGCCTATTGCTCTAGCGTGCAGCGAGCCGACGACGACTGGCAGTAGGTGGATTGCGAGAGCGCTCAACTATTTGTTGGAGAAGCTTCCTGGAGCAGAGCATTTCAACCTCACTGCTACTGCTAATCTTAAGCAAATATTGAAGAGTGCAGAGAAGAAACTCCAGCAATATGGGAAGGACACACTGACTATCAGTGGGGGATTCGACATTAAGGAGATGTTTACATCCCTCCCACACTCTGCAATCATGGAAGCACTCACCTGGCTACTGGGAGAATGGGAAAAGAAAGGCTATCAGAGGATCGCGGTGTGCAAGAGGAGGAAACAAGTTACTCTCGGCAGAAAGACGTTCGGGAAAGGCTATGTCAAGCTTTCCTTCAGCCACATCCGCAGCTTCATATCATTCGAGTTACAACATACCTACACTAAGTGTAGAGGGAGGCCGCTCAGGCAAGTTATCGGAGTGCCAATGGGGAAGAACTCCAGTCCCCCGCTGGCCTGTTTACTTTGTGCGAAGTATGAAGTTGGTTTTCTGAGATCGCTGGGAAGTGACCGGAAACTTGTCCACGGAGTGAGATTCATGGACGATGCGATGCTCGCGGTCGTGTGTAACCGGAGAAAGGAGAACTCTGTCAGCAGGGCGCTGGAGATTTTACGGAGTTTTGGAAACTGCTATGGGGATAAGTTGTCCCTAGTCCGCACAGACGACGGATCAAACACCATAGAATTCGTTGGATCGAAGGTCACGACTCTACCGGGGAAAACCATGTTCTTGCTAGAACCAAAGATCAAGAATGGATAGACGGTCCAATTGGGAGAAGTGCAGCAGCGTCTCATTCATCGCTGCCTCTAGGATTTCAGTTCCTACTCCGACAAGCGGGCAAAGATAGGAGCCATAATCGACTACCTTCACCGCATTCAGCAGATGGCGAACAGTGAAAGCACGCTGTTCCTACCGGTTATGGCCCTGAAGTACGAACTCCTACGCCGGGGAATCGGCGGGATACCCCCCGACGTTCTTCTACAAAGCCCTAGCACGTTTTGCTAAGGGCACCAGCGTTCTCAGGGAGCCTTGGATGAGGCTGCTCGAGAACATGGTACTGTGGGACTACAGCTGTCTCTTATACACATCTAGATGTGTATAAGAGACAGGAAATAGGCCGTAGTTACAGTACCTGTTAGCATAGTTAACGTAGGATAAAAATTCCTTTGTAAATTCCTTGGTAGATATTTCCCCCGGAAACGTAGGAATTCCACGCAGCGAAATAGCCTGCGAGGTAGTTCGAATTTTGCAGCCACATTTTATAATTTATTTCGTAAGACTACCGGCATTTTAATTTTCTCGGCCCTAGAAATTACGTGGCATTGCCACGGTAGCCCACTGCCAGTTAGGCAGCTCAGGTACGGCATTACCGGACTGCCCGCACATTTTGAAAAAGAGCGGGGAATTGCGGGTATCAGAATTTGAAATTGTACAGGTCACGGTTTGTCGAGTTTGTACAGGTCACGCGCATACGTGTAACTGACTGGATCAAGGAGGGACGTACTAGGTCCAGGTAGGGATCCACGACGCATGGATTAGCCCAATGGGAAAATAAGTTGGAAGGAGGTGTCCAAAAGGAGCTTAGTGCTAGTGTAAGACGGATCGAGGAAGGAACTTGATCGTTGGAAGGACTCTTGGCAGAGAAAGAAACGTTAGTCGGTGCCTGGTACCCCGACACGTAAACATGTGGGGAAAGCGGGCCTGTAAGCGTATTCGTCGCATCGACATTTCAAAGTTTACATGGACTGATATTTGTAGCCCGTTATGGGGCTGACAGGTAACGGACTTTACCGCGCTCGATGCAACGTCTACATAGCAGTCCAGCCGTAGCCGTAGTAGTATGTGGAAGTGCCCGTTTGGGGAGGGTGTGCCGTGCTAACGAAGCGTCCTGCTTGGCGTTCAATATTTATGAGGGCAAGGCCTGATAGGCCCTCAGTACTCAGAAGGAAGGGAGGTATGATCGGCGGGCCGCAAGGTGAGGGTGTGTGGGAAGCCCCCTGAGGATGATCGGAGCGAAACCGATCGAAACGCGTCGGGGAATGTGTGCGAGAGTTGAGATGAGTATGCGCTGTTTTGTATTGACGAGCTTTTGAAGCGTGTACGTAAGGCAGTTGGCCACTGTTTCCACTATTTTTCTTGAATATAGGTTAGGAGCACCTCTTCCGGTCCGGGAGGGGATAAGAACAGCCTCCAGGAGGGCGAAGTCCTTAGTTATTCTGCATTAAACAGGTGATGGCTGCGGTCTCTGAGCAGAGCGGCTGAAGTGGTGGGAAGCAGCACCTGGGTTGAAACAGAGTTCAGCGTTGATAGAGAAACAGAAGGCTGTAACAATGAAATGTTCGTGTTCCGACCTCCTGTTAACCCCGCTTTTGATGCTCGAGGGTAATAAGTAACCGGACTGGTGCCCCCCAGAATATAAAGGGGGTGGGCGTCTTTTGTGCAAAAAAAGATAAATAAATAAATAAAGAAAGAAAGAAAGAAAGAAAGAAAGAGAGTGGCGTTGGAAGCTCCCGCAGAGCCAAACAGGGCACACCCCGAAATGGAATTATCTGCACAAATTTATAGTAAAATCCACCTATAGGATGCTACGCCGCAAGCGACATCTAAGGGACCAAATAAATGACCGGTGGGCCAGGCATTTAAACGTGGACCTAAGCCTCCTTAAGCCCATTCGTTGGTTTCAGGAAAGAAAGCCCCGACCAGCTAAGATCAATTCCCTGCAATGGCAGATAGTTCATCGTTGCCTGCCTACGAACGACTGGCTGGTGGATCGTACTTCCTTGGAACAGAGGGGGGAACTGTTACCATGGTGCCAACGCTGCTCCAAATCTTTCGCGGCCCACAAGAGAGCCAAAACGATCGAGCATGTATTCATGCAGTGCCCGATCGCTCAGTTCATCTTGAGGAGCTGGGAACGCATATGGAGGAGGATGGGTGGCCCGTCCCCCTGGCCTTTGTCGTGGATACTGGCAGGTCACTGGCACCCAGCAGAAAACACCTCCTCTTCCGAAGACAATATGTTTAGGTTGGGGAGGTGAGCGGTGTTGTGGGCCTTATGGTGGCAACGGTGTCTTCTTGCACTGGACAAGGTCCAAGTGGACGCAGCTGAGATCATGGACCAAATCAAACAACAGGTCCAGATGGAACTAACACGAAAATGGCAAGCCTTGAAACCGCAACTGGATTTTTTCCAGCAAGGAAAAGACATCAAGAAGGCAATCACCTCTTTCTGTCTGGACTCGCTAGGAGGGAAAAGGGGAGGATGGATAGCAGAAATAAAATGGAGTGGGGACAGGGACAGTTTAGACAACCATCACGATATAGAAAAGAAGCGGGACTATAGACTGATGTTTAAGGACTGGCTACACATTGATCCTTCCTTCCCATTATGTCCCCCAGCTGATTTCCCGGACCCGTTCCCGCCCCACCCCCTTTCCCTTACTGAATACATCATATAAAGAAAGAGGTGGTGGCCCGGTACCCCCCGGACATGACCACAGTCACAGGATGCGCCCGGCGGCCTGGGGACTCTTCAAAGACATGCCCCCCCCCCAGGGGGTGAGGACAAGTAAGCAGCCAAGGGTTGAGCAGTAGAAGCAAGGGTCTTGCGGCCACGTCCTTCTTGAAACAGTCTTTTTTCCATGAAGTACGTCCGCAAAAGGAGAGCTAGTTGGTCATGTTTTATCAGGCGCCCACTTACTAGGGCTGAAGAGGCTTCCCCTCGCACCCCCTCTTTTTTTTGTTCTCTTTTTCCCATCACCCCTGCGCAGTCAATCCCCTGGGACCCAGGGCAATCAATGCTGGCAGGCTTTTAACTACCTGAGATATTCTCGTACATTGTAAATGGGACGCTGGACCCGTTTTCCAGCAGCAGCAGGTGTGGCTCCCCACTAATAGATGGAGCCTCCCCCACAATACTAGCGGTGTCTGCTCATATCAGCACCCCTAGTGGTCTGAAGGGAGTTCTAAAAAAAAAAAAAAAAAAAAAAGAAGAAGAAGAAGAAGAAAGAAAGAAAGAAAGAAAGAAAGAAAGAAGATGATCGTCACTGGATATTACTCGTGGACTATAATAGAGGTAGTGCGCCTCCCCCGGGCTGTTGCGAGGTCCAAGTGTAATCAGACTCACTTTCTTCTTTGCTTCACATGCATACAAACAGATGGTGATTCACACCTGCGCATAGCGCCCAACTCAAAGCTCAGAGATATGGAAACCAAGAACACAGTTCGGATGCAACTCGCTTCAACAGGCTATAGTGCACCAGCACCTATACATCCCAACTCTCGTCACTGTGTCCAACACCACTGTTCGCTCATACTTCAACTCTGGATCACCCTGGATATCCCACACGCAACCCACTGTACATGCTACACTCTCCTATCAGCTACGGCGGCTATGGCCGCTGCTACCCTATCACTATGACTAAGCTCCTTCTCGCCCACTTCGTATTCGGGCTTGCTGCAGACCACCTCGCACAAGTCGCTGTTGGCAGCGCTTCCGCATGGCTTACGCAGGAACGAATCCATGGCTAGGCGCTGCCTCTTGATTTATACTTCTGTAACTCGTTGGTCTGCCCCTTTCCCATGCCCGTGGTGCACATAGTCCCATACGGTACTTGCTTGACTGGACTAGGACTGACTGGGACTGGGACTGCTGACTCAGCACGGGTAGACTCCACCACTTGCCCACTTGCCTCAGCCTAAACGTGAGCAACATCTAAAGGCCACACTAGGACCTTCCGGAAGGCCGTGGACTTGGCCTTTCGATACTGTAGCAGCTATGACCTTGACCCTTCAGGACTGTAGCAGCTACGACCTTGACCTTTCGAAGGAGCCACAGCTACGACTTCTAGACCTTGCTAAGACTCCTACCCGACAGGTCTACAGATCGAACCCCTACGGGCCTCGATGACGCCAAAGATCGCCGCGTGCATGGCCTATGGGCCTCGCTGCACTACTCTCCTCATCCACAAAAGACAAATAATATGGCGGTGTATCTTTCCATGTTCTAGTGGAAGATTCAGGGTCTCGCTCCACTATTGTCCGCTATACAGAATTTCGTATAGCAGCCATATAGCTGTCAGAGCTAAAAAAATTGTATAAACCGTGGCGTCGCTCCACTTCCTATCTGCTATACAAGTCTCCAATTCACGAGTTCACTACAAAATACTCGTACAGCACTACACGACAGCAATTTGTCGGCCCAGACTCCAGGTGCTCCATTCAATTTCGCGGTAGAATGTCGACCTCGTTTGACCACCCTCCGATTAACGATGTTTGCAGGCTGAGAACTATACGGGATCATATGGTGAATTTGGAGGGCGCTATCTGACAACTATACAGCGGTTTCTGAAGTTATATATTTCGGATACTAAGTGGAGCAGTGTCCCACTATCCGAAATCGTACAGCAGATAGTAGTGGAGTGAGACCCTCATTCTCATTTTGTGCATTTGGAGAGTAGTTCAGCGAGGCCCTATGTCACAGAACGTGCAGCTTCACAAGACGACAAAGTGGTACACATGTTGGCCTGGACTATGGGCCTCGCCACACCGCTGTCGAAACGAGAAAAGTATGAGCGCGTCTTCCTCGGAAAGTGATCAGATGCATGTGTTACTATTCATAGTAATGGATGCATCTGGCCATTAATTGCGGGAACATACAGTCGTACGTTTTTCGTTTCGACAGTGGTGTGGCAAGGCCCTATGCCACCGCGATGCGGTGGATATCTGAGCAGTCCAAGATCGGATCTTGATCGCAGTCGGACCTGGTTTTCTTAGTTCTTTGGATTTTTGTGACGTACCATTCGGCGCGGAGGAAATTGAATTTCCAGTTCTGACCTGTTACGGCCACTAGACTGGGATAGCAGGAAAACAGTCGGGTGATTTGCGAAAACAATGTTTGGGCCTTCCTCGCGCCCGACTGTTTTCCCACTATCCCGCGTACCATTTGAGCAGTTCTGACCTGTTACAGGGCCTCGTTCCACACCACTTCACTTCACTTGAAACTCGAGTCACTCGAGTCCGCCCTTGAAATGAGCTGGAACAGCTCGCGAGAGGTTCAACCAGGATGATGGCATTAGAAAAAGGAGAATAAACGGGGAAAAAAAACTATCGGGGGGTTCTACACGTACCTGCAGCACCGATTTCAAGTGCAGCTCAAGTGTGCCTAGAGAGGTGACTTGAAAAACGGGTAGGTTTGCCTGGGCCGCACTTGAGCCGCACTTGAGCTTTTCCCGCCCATTTGCTAAACCCGAAAATCTAATCACCGCCGGGCCGTGATTAGCAAAACTCAAGGGCACCGTGGAACGATGTTGGGCAAGAAACCCTTGAGTTTCGAGTGGTGTGGAACGAGCCCCACAGCCACTAGACTGGGATAGCAGGAAAACGGTCAGGCGCGAGGAAAGCCCAAACGTTTTTTTTGCAAATCGGTACCACCAGGCGAGGTGGACGGCAAAAGGGTAGAGTATCTATTCACAGTCGAGGGAACACTCGACATTCAGTCTGAGCGGAATGAAGTGGAAGGGCTGATAAGGCGTGTTATGCTCTCGAGACAATTATCATGTAATTTATCTCGTGAAAGTAAGGCTGCAAGATTACATTGTTCATTACTACTATCTCCATAATTATTCTGAATTGTTGGATGGGATGCTGGACCCGTTCTCCAGCAGGTGCACCTCCCCACCAATCGACTGGAGCTAGCCACAGGACTGATGGTGGTATCTGCCCTTACCAGTGCCATAGTCAGTTCCTGGGCAAGTTTTTCCTTTGAAAGAAAAAAAACAAAAACAAAAAGTTAAAAAAAAAAAACAGAAAACATTTCAAATGGGTGGTCTTCCATCACATTGAATTTCACTAAGACCGACTGGCCTACCCTAGCTCAGTTGCTACACCCGCGAACAGTCTGCTGAAAAAGTGAACCACTGTGTTCGTCGGTTCGAACACAGCAGAACCAATGAGTGAAGGAAATAGCTCTGAATTAAGCTAGGGTAAAAAGATCATGAAAATAAGTGTATTAGATTAAGTGTATTAGTATTTATAATACTCTTAAATTCTATTATAAAAAAAAATAATAAACAATAAATGATATTTATATTTGGTAAGTAATACTAATTGAATGAATAAATAAAATATGAAGTTACATATTAACATGAATTAATCTATATTAATCTATACACGGCAGTCACCCTTTTGAGTAAAAAAACTTTGAAAAAAAGTAACTTGGTAAGCACTTTGTTTTTCTTCTTTTTTTTGGGGGGGGGGAAGTGCGGACATTGAGGAGTTTTTCATCTGATAATTATAGAGTGCGGACATTGAGGAGTTTTTCGTCTGATAATTATAAATTCCCAGGCATTTATCCCTCTCTGACTCTGAGATGCACGTGTTCTAGCCTCTAGGCCTTTGAAGGGGGGGGAATGTGACAAATTGAATTGGTTAATCATTATGATATCATTACATGCAACCTGAAAGTCTTAGAGTGGGTCTCTGGGCCCCGTGCCCAAGGCTGATATGAGAGTGGGTCTCCTAACCATAGAAGGATTGAGATTCTCGACCGGTGTTCACGTCGAAGAGCTGTGGGGAGGAAGATGATACCGCCACGATAAGAAAGCTCATGTAGTTTTCTTCCAATTGCTTCCAATGCATGTGATTGTGTGTATATTTTCTTCTTTGTCTCTCTCATAGACTGTCCGGTGGGGTCTCACTCACCCTACTTAGTCTCTGGGATGACGTAATGTGTTGCTGACGATGGTCACCGTATGCTCTGGAGTTTTGAAATGGTGGTGGGCGTAGGAGGGATAATATGGGGATGGCCAGCTATTCATGCTGTATTGCTTTCAACTTTCTAATGTGTTGCCTGTTTTAAAAACACCCTAAGGCTTGCTCGTTTTGGGTTGCTTCAACTTGCTCGTTTCCTCCTAAAGCAGGCATTCTTTCTTCCCTGTCTGGCGGCTGCTGTGTTCTTGTCAGAGGAGGAGGACCATCCGCTTGGATTACAAGACGCTGTCACCCATTGTGGATGCATCTCTCCCTTGATGTTGGACTCCCCATTTTGCTTTAAATTTAATACCTTCACATGCATTGGGAGGCTGTTGTGCCCTTCTCCTCTCCATCATGTCCACAAGCTTCGAATCCCAGCGATGCCATTCCTAAGCGCAGTGCAGTCGCTGTGACTGCATATGCCATCTTGAAACTTTAAGGTTGCTAGACTCCGCCAGAGGCCCAGAGAAAGAGCAGGAGGGGGAGACGTTCTGATTCAATTAAGGGCTACTTCAGAACTGCGGTATCAACAAAGGGCGACGGAAAGTATGCTCCGGGTCAAGGAATTTGATGTGCTGAGGCCCCCTTACCTGGCAGCTGGCAGGCTGTGCCGAGAAATGATGACACACAACACAGCTGCATTGCATGTCCGTAAGTGCCCGCAGCCACGGCTGACGGTCCTGTTTCCGTGGACACAAGTCACACAACGTGAATGTGCTCGTTCAGGAATGCGCCACCTCAGCATGACTTGCACAACGTGTTGGTGGCGAAATTATAGCGCTGTTGCTCATTCCAATGATTCCATTATCCGTTATGATAGTGTATGCTGCTGTGCATGCAACAGAGACCGCGGCGCCAAGAGTGCAGGCATAAGTCCAAGTGTTGCCCGTTGCAAAGTGCTCTCTCGATCTCAGCATCATCAACACAATGCCATGATGGCTTTATCTGTAAGACGTGCAACCAAGCGGGCAAGGTCATTGATTGCCCATTCCAAGGAATCGAAGCACATAGCAGAGTCAGCAGACACTGGCGGTCAAGCAGATTCCAGCAACTCGTATGACGTCAATACAATGGTGTGTAAAATCTTTTCTACCTCCTTCGACACTGTGGCATCCCATCTTCTCTCGCAATCTTCGTCTTCCTCTGTACTTAGAGTGTCGAAAACAGGTACGATCAGGTAGTTCGGATCCCTGTATATACTTGGTGTGCGCATGCGCGCCATGCACACATGCAGCACGTCATGCACAATGCACTGGTGTGCCATGTATGGTCTGCATGCACTAAAAAAATGCAAAAAGAAAAAAAAAAAAAAATATCCCAAGAAGGGATAGTTTGCAAAACAACCCCATAAGGTGAGTGAGATATATGCCAAAATGCCCCTGAAAGTTGCTGGTAGAGCGGAATGCCCTTTTGGGGCGAATTCTTTGTGTTATGCCCCTGTCAGGCCGGTGTGCAAATTTGCAATCTGGACCTCTCGCCATTTGGACCTGGGCACTTTGCAATCGGGCCTTGGAAAAGTTGGCAAGTACCGGCCAGGGGGCATTTGCAAAGTTGGGCGGTGCTGGGGTGAGGTATATTGCAAAGATGTGGGGTAGGCATTTGCCATATTATATCTCAACTTTTAACTTCTTGAGGTATTTTGCAAATTATCCCCCCCAAGAAATGTGATGAGAAATTGGAAATCATTACAAGCAAATTCTGGCTGAGCCACAACCCCAAAATCGTATTCTTTGAGTTTATAAAAGTGGGAAACCTTTTTTTTCCATTTTTTTACAAACTTTTAAGGTTCTAATTTGTTTTCTTTTTCCATTTTTGGTGCACTCCATCTAATCTTTTGGAGCGCCATGTAGCGCACAATCGACTGTACATGCTTACACAACGAGTACTAGCAATCCCTTGTTCGGATGCTGCAACGTCGCAGCAACGAAGCTTCAAGCCTTCAACTACCATTCACAGAACCACCAAACTCACACTCATACGTGCTCCACAACAGCCATGCAAAGATATCATATATGCTACCGTCTTCACCCAAATAGAACGCCCGGTCATTATACCTGCATTTGGCCCAATTTCAGTCCGGCTGCAGCGATAATGACCGGGCGTTCTATTCGGGTGAAGACGGTAATCTCTAGACTCGGCTAGAGCCATGGAGGAGTTGTTACCAGAGTAGACGTTAGTCAGAGGTGGAGGAGGTGGAGGAGGTGGAGGAGGTGGTGGCAATAGCTGATCTTGGAAGACTTAGCGATGTGCGCGGAGCTATGCTAAACTACAGCGACGCACTGGGGCACCGCTGCACTGGGACTGCGGCCAGGAGAATCTTAGTAGTGCATGGATCCAGAGACCATTATACCACGAACCAGTCATCCAGATGTCATGGTTACCAATGTACTCGTTACCTTAGACAAAGGTAGAAGAGAGATRTCCCATTCCCATAGACAAARGTAGAGAAGAGTTCCCTGTCCCCCATAGACAAAGGTAGAGAARAGATGCGTTGCCGCTGCTTATATTATCAAAAATGTCTGATTTCATCAACTTCCAGTCTCTCAAGTTCATCACAACAGCTCATAAATCAACTCTGTTCATCATCCCATCAATATGGAGACCAGCGCAGCAACATCATCATGTCGAAGTACAGCATTACTCAGGTAAGTGACATCTTCTCCTCTCTCTCTCTCCT